GCAGGGGACGCCTGGTCCCTGCCGGTTCTCGCTAACACGTTACTTGCCTTAAGTATGAAGGTTTTTTTTTTGTTTTTTTTTTGTTTGTTTGTTTGTTTTTTTTAAGTCTGGCAAGCGGAATAGGTGTCCCCGAAATCGCAATCCCCTTAAAACAACCCGCTTTTCATTCCAAGTGCAGCCTGCCTTTAAGAAAGGGTTAAGGTTTTACACCTTTTAGTCACACAAACCCTTGCACATTTACGAACCAGGAAAATGCACTACTTTAGCATGGGCCTCCGCAGTAATATATTATAAAGGGAAATGAGCCGGTTATATCAATATCACCCCAAAACCCGCATTTTCCCCAATAACATTGTCACGACAGACCACGCTGTAAAAACCACCCAAACAAGCAACATTTTTATTGGCGAGTTCTGCTCATGGATTTCCAGTTCCACACTCGGGTCTCCACGGCTCCTAGCAGATTTGCTTCTTTTTAGAAATAGTAATTAAAAAAAAAAAAAGGGTAACATTCCACTTCCAAAACAATAAAGTTATTTAACATTTGAAAGTAAACCAGAGGCTGGCCATTTTAAATACAAACTGTAGGAGAACTCATGCTGGTTCCCCATGGAACTGCCACCCCCTCGGTTCCACTCATGGAGGCAGCAGGTCAGCTTCAGAGGCTCTCCCCTATAGAATTCAATTAAAAGGACTGGGGCATGTGCTATTAATTACCATTCAAAGCCCTGTTGTTGTACATTCTTCACAGGAAAAGATAAAACAGTTTGCATTACACCAAAAGGTACCTTTTTCTTCTTTTTCTTCCCTTATTCTAAAGCTAAGTTATATTCAAAATCCAGGGGAAATGTGGCTTTAAGATTCAGCTAATTTCTCATCACACACAAAAGATTTCTACTAAAGAGCATATCCAGGTTGAGATACACATTTGATTTTTGTCATGAGGTTAATGCTTATGGGGTACAAGATGCAAGCTACTTATAATAAACACATCACTTCTTGGTGAGCAAAGATTTTTTTTAAGCTTTTTGGACCAACAATTAATGTTGCTTTTCTTTTTTTCCCCTCTCCCGAATCTAGCCAGGAGAGTTTACACCACTACAACAAATAAAAAGATGCCCAGTGGCTACCACACATCTTATCAGTTAATAAGATGTTGCACTGAACATGTTTGTTTTCATTTTTAAAAACTCTTTAATTTACTTTGTAGGCCCCAAAGGCTTTGTACACCAGAAATTACACAAGTCAAACACAGAAAATTGTAAATTGGTATCCACAACTATTTTGAGGTATTCCACAAGAACCCTGGCTCTACACCTGAATGTTCCTCTCAAAAGAAAAAAAAAAAATCCCAAACCCTAGCTAGCGTAGAAATTTCATCTAAAGGATTCCTTTAATCCCCATATCCCACTACATTTGATCAACACGAATGTACTCATGACTAGAGTCATGAAAAACATCTTCATCCTTTTCTCTTAATACTAATTTCAGTACTTCACTCCTAAGGATCAGGACACATTCAGAAGAGATGAAAAGAAAGGTATTTTCTTCTAGCCAAACCAGAGAAGCACATTCAGTTACTGTTTTTGGTTCACTGTTCACTCAATTTGTGGAGGTGCTCTGAGAAGAGACTAGCAATCCCCTTCCTTTGAAAATAGCAGCGTTTTATAACCTAACCTCTAA